GATGAAGCGTAAGCTAAAATCCACTTAGCATTTGTCAAAGTATATTTGAGAGCTTTTGTCCATGTTTCATCTTGATTGAACTGTAATTTTATCGAAGCGTCACCAATTTTATCCTTGTTGATTCTATATTACAGAAATATCATCAGCTCAAGATATTCTCAATTTTTACAATCAATTAAAAAAAGAATCTATCAATATTTACCGATATGGTAATTTAAGATTTTGATCTTGTCTCTCTGCATAGTCACCCAACTGTTGTAAGCAGTTTAAGAAGCACACCATAGATTGGTCAAAACGACGATTCATAAATAACCTTCCCAATGCAATGTCTCCGGAACCGTATCTGGTGCAAAAAAAAATAGGGCTTGTTACTCATTTTTGTTACGAGAATAAGTATCGAAAGAAAGCAAGAATGTTTCGAAAATCAATGACTCACAGCCCATAAGACGTATTTTCTTCGTCGATTTTTTCAATCCTTGAGAATGACCCCAAGGGGACTAACCGATACCTAAGAAACAATCCGTTAATATCATAATCAAAAATCCAAAGAAATGAAATCTATTAATGAAATTTACGTTTTGAATGTAAAATTGAGTTTATTAGCAATAGTAGCAAGCAATAAAAGTGTTTGCCCCCAAGCAGCATTGATCTCACTCCAATCGACCTTATTTTAATGGAGAAAAAAACAAAATATATTAAATTTTCATTCTCCATTGTCTACTAAAGGAAAAATAGATATACCGTTTGATTTGGAAGACGACCTAGCCTAAAACCATTGATCGTGCCAAAATGACCATCGTGCCCGATGCAAAATGTGTCGTTATATACGTTGGTCCTTTGGAGCCTTTCAAGTTGCCTGGCGTCATGATCGTATTTCAAATTGACACTATCTCTTTCATTTTGGAATGTTTGGAGTTGAATGTGAAAATCATTGAATTCCTGCCAATAACTAAAACAGAATTAATGTTTATGTCATAACACGTCGTAACAAAGGCTCGAGTGATGTAAAGCAATTAAATAAGGGTCACCTTTCTTCAAGCTTGTCAAGTTCTTCTGCTTCCTTTTCCAATGCAGCTAACTCCTCTTTCATTTTATCACGTTCACGTTCAATTTCTTCTAATTGTCGAACAGCAGCTAGCTCGTTGGCCCGAATCTTTTACATATTAATCACACAAATGATTAAAAGGTTTAAAAGTTATTGAAAACAAAAATTCAATAACTTGCCTCTTCGATCCCCTTTTGCAGCTCCTTTTGTTCTTCATCACTTATCAGGTTAACATTAACTTTTTTTAGGAAATCTATGTAGCAATCTCGTTCTCGGGAAGCATCCATTAGTTGCTTTCCCAAACTATCTTGAAGCATATCCGTACATTCTTGACACATAGGATGATTTATTTCTGACTTGGATGACATGATATCGAAGAGACGGTTTGCAACTTTGAGACGATAGCTGATACTAGCCCTTTGTCTGTCATCCACATTCATATCATTGTTGCCACGTTCTGATGATAATTGAACATTTTGTGGGGGATACACCTGTGACCGTGATAACACTACATATGATTCCGATGGTGCCAAAAATGATTCTTTATTGCTGATTATTCCATTAGGTGGTCGAAGAGTTGCTTGATTTCTTGACGATATTGAATGCCTGCCTGCTGCCTGAATTCCATTTTGTTCAGTATCTTGTTTTGAACTTTTTCTCAGCGTTCCTCTTTCGAATCTTTGATCGTCTATTGTTGTCTCTGAAAAACGTATGCCTTCTTCTTGGAGTGGCGCTAAGAATAAGATCAATATAAAAAAAATGAGTTTAAATAAAAATCAAGTTGATCAAGCCGAATATAACCAACCAAGTAAAAGGTCGATTGAAGTCGTGTTAAGATCAGTGAGGGATTCGTCTATCTTTAAAGTATGTTTACAGTGTTGACATGTGAACACTATCGATTGTTCCATAATGAGAAGAAATTTTGATGGCTCCACGTAAGCTTAGTGCCTTTTTTAACTTTCGCTTTAGGCCAATCAGATTAATAGATCACATTTTGAATTATATATTATATTGTGCATATATAAAAATGGGCTATCCTAATCCGAACTTTAGGGCACAAAAAAAAGGTAACTTGCAATTCAAGATTGATAAGTAAATATTCTGGTAATAAACAAACATTTGATATACATACAATATATGTATATATGGATTACGCGAGTTCTCATTAATTTATTTAGTTGCAAATCACAAAAGGATGGTTCAATGTAATCAAATAGTCAATCGCTTCACTCCATGGAAAAAAACGTAGGGATCCTATAACAAGATCTCTATAAATTTTATTTCTAGATGACTTGTTCTATAATCCAAAATGGAATGATTTCAATAATTTGTGTATTCATGAGTCACCACATTGTAGAGGTTAAGTGATTCACGGGTGAAAATGAGAATGGAAAACAAGATTAAATCATTTAATGTGGTTAATCGTTTTCAGAAAAAAAAAATTCCTTTTGGAGTTAATTAACTATATACAATTATGTAAATGTAAAAGGAATTGTGAATTTTGAAATTTGTAGAGAATTATTTTGCAAATTCTCATCCAAAAGTGGCGAAGATTATTTTTCTGTGAATTAACGCTTACTAACGTGGTGGTGATGGCTTTGTGTCTAATGCGAAACGTACTCTATGAACTACATGCGTAGGCCGTTGATCGACAAACAAATCTTGTTCAGGTGAATTCAATGAAACAAATTTCTCGTTCACATTAGGTTGAGGTAACTTGTCCGTAGCTACAGAAAATTATTTAATTAGTATAAGGGGTAAAAACACCGATACATTATTATACATCTAATGACCTTACTTTTTTTATGAGACGTCTCTTCCAAGATAATTTCAATATCACTGTCACACTCCATGTCTTGAGAATATTGTGAGCCACAATCCCCATCATTTGCCTGACCAGACTTTTGAACAGGTAAATTTGCAATAGACTCTTTTTCCGAATTAGTATTATCCAATGATCCTCTTGGTTCTGCCATTTTTACGAATGTTTTCTTTTGTTGGTCATGTATTTTGACGTTTTTTCCCGAAGAAGTCTGCGACAGAGAACCGCTCTTAACTTTGGTTTTGTCTGTGGCTTCTGAATTGAGAACGCTAGTGCATAATAAACCTTCGTTCGTTTCTTTTTTGCTGTTAACTCCCTTCGAATTCCGAATTTCTTAAACATTCGAGGAATATTTAGATAAATAAAGAATTTTGACGAGTGAATATAAATTCATTTACCATCAATTTTCGAGGATATTGGAACTCTATCGGTTCGCTTTTCATTATTTTTGCTTCTCGCATCGGAGTCAATCTGTTCGCAAACGCGTGTTTTTTCTGTTTCAAGTTTTGTTTTCGCGGTTTTAAACAGTAACACGAAAAGCTCCCTCAATTCACGAGACAGATTGGGAAGATCATTGACATCCATTAAATTAGTGCTGTTAGAGTCAATTTGGTAATTGATAATTTCTTCCTTTAAACGTGGTTTTATCGCGTCCATTTCCGACACCGCCTGAGAACTTTCTGCGTGTTTACAAGTCATCATATCTGGTGGTCCTTGTACACTTTCCACACTCCGCATAAGCAGGCATTCGGAGTTTGTCACGCACCATTCATGATTCGCTAAACTGAGATGAATGTGCGAATCCATTTTTGAGATATGAGTGATATTTTCTCTTTTTTCCGTTTATGGTATTGAAGATCAGTACAACCTATCATCCACAAAAAGTAATTCGGTAGAAAGGATGAGAACATTCTATCAAGTAGTAAAAGTAGTGATACTGTCATGATGACGCGTTTTCGAAGTTTACCACCATGTCTATCTTTTTTTCTAGGGTTCAATTGCGTAAAACCTTCAACATAAAAATTATGACTAGTAAGGATCGATTTTTCGCTACGAAAGTAGAAGTTCCGAAGGTCTGGCACTAAAAATATATTTGTGCATTGCATACTTTTGTGCTTATATTAGCAGTTAACATGATAATAAAATTACAATATAGCTGAGAGATCAGTCATTGCTTCGTCAAAGCGCTTTCGTAAATGGTGAATGGGTTAAATCTAAGACCGGGCAAGAATTCTCGGTATTAGGTATCAATGCGATTAGTGAAAGATCAACCATTTGCAACTCTTTGTCGAAAGAATTTGATTCATCAATTTTGGATTAGATCCTGCGACTAATGATGAGATTGGAAAAATTCCTGATATGAATCCCGAAGATGCTAAAGAAGCCATTAGAGCTGCCAAAGAAGCTTTTAAGGATTGGGCAAAGCAAACTGCAAAGGTGTTTATTGGTTGTGATTTTCGAGAGAAAAGGCATTTCCGAGATTTTGTAACTCTTGATAACTTTTTTGCAGCACCGGCATGACTTACTTAAAACATGGTATTCGTTGATCTTGGATAACAAAGACGATCTTGCTACCATTCTTACCAGAGAGAACGGTAAACAAATTAATGAAGCGTTAGGTGAAATTAAATATGGGGCAAGTTTCATCGAGTGGTTTGCCGAAGAAGCTAGGCGTGTCTATGGAGATGTTATACCATCTCCCTGGAAAAATCATAAATTTGTGGTTCAGAAACAGCCAGTTGGCGTGGTTGGGATTATAACACCTTGGAATTTCCCGAATGCAATGATTACACGCAAGTTAGGTGCGGCGCTGGCAGTTGGGTGCACCACCGTAATAAAACCTGATTCCCAAACGCCATTTTCGGCTTTGGCATTGGCAGAACTGGCTTCAAGAGCCGGATTCCCAAAAGGTGTGATCAATGTGGTTACAGCGAAAGCAAACACTCCCGGAATAGGACTAGAATTGACGGTATTTCAAATGAGAAATACGATTTGTTATCGATATCCATCACACAAATTATTATTAAACGAGAAAAAATAATATTTATCTTTTAGACTAATCCGGACGTGAGGAAAATATCTTTTACTGGATCGGTATGTTGTTTCTTTGGTTGAAAGATGATTTTTAAGCATTAATTGGTAATTCTGCCACCTTGTGAAAACGACTGTAGACGACGGTTGGTAAATTGTTGATGCAACAAAGTTCAAGCACAATAAAAAAATTATCGTTGGAGCTTGGAGGAAACGCCCCGTTCATTGTATTTGATGATGCAGATATAGATGCGGCCGTTGAAGGTTTGTCGAATTTTTATTTTAAGTTGTCTTATGTTAATGTCGACAACTGGACTAAAACAGATCATACAGGCGCGATGGCGTCGAAGTTTCGTGCATCTGGTCAAACGTGTGTCTGCGCGAATCGTATTTATGTGCAATCATCAATTCATGCCGAATTCGCATCTCGTCTCGCTGAGAAGGTGAGTAAGTTTCGAATAGGCAACGGATTTGATCCACAAACCACGCATGGTCCATTGATCAACTCAAAAGCGGTTGAAAAAGTCACAAGACACGTGGAAGATGCAGTTGCAAAAGGAGCTGAAATCCTTGTTGGTGGTGTTCGTCGTGACGGAAATTTTTTTGAACCCACTGTTCTTACGGGTATGACCACTGAAATGGCCATTACGAGTGAAGAAACTTTTGGTCCCGTGGCTGGATTGTATAAATTTGAGTCCGAGGAAGAAGTCATAGAGTTGGCGAATGATAGTACCGTAGGTTTGGCCGGTTATTTTTACTCCAGGGATGTAGGCAGATGTTGGCGTGTAGCGGAAGCCCTGGAATTGGGAATGGTTGGAGTCAACTCTGGAATAGTCGGAAGCAGCGAAGTTCCATTTGGCGGGGTACGTTTGTTCCATTTATCGTAAAAAATCATTACTAACAATTGATTATTGATCTTTTACATTTCATTTGTATATAGATCAAAGAATCTGGACTGGGACGTGAAGGTACAAAGCCATCTTAAATTTGTCTATTTGATTTCCATGGTTAACCTTGAATTTTCCTGTAGGCTCTAAATACGGTATCGATGAATACCTTAATATCAAGTATATCAACTTCGGTGGTATATGAAACCATGAAGAGAGATGCACCGCAGTCATCTTAATTTGGTGCAATAATCATTTACGCTTGACGAGTGCATTTGAGAAGACAAAAAGTAATGTTGCTCGATGAGATTGTTTCTAACGTATTCCAGAGAAAATTCCATAATTTTTGCGAACATTTGAATATTAGTATTTTTATTAATTGAATATAATACATGTTTTACCAAACACAAGAATAAACACTTGACGATGTGCCACTATAAGCCAATCAATTTTTCAAAATATATATATCCACCAAAGAAAAAAGAATAACAAAAAAAAATGTTAACTTAAAAAAAAAAAAAAATGAAATGAATTACAAAACCCTATTTGTATCATAATTCTTCCTGTATTCGACTTTATCAACCTTCACCTCACCATTGATTAATTGATAGACATAGGTGACCACCACAACTCCTTGAATATCCATCAGAACGAACGAAGGTCTGACATCCCTATAAAAATATTATTGCCCAAGTGTGAATATCTGTTAAGACTTATAAGAGGAAGCTGAGAAATTTTTAAAAGATGCTAACTCAGTCACAAATCCCGAATAGGCGCCAGTGGCGCTGCCCGGATTGACAAGAAATTTGCCGTTGCATTCAAACGCTTCGAATCGATGCGTGTGACCCGTTAATAAAATGTCCACGTCCATTTGACGCGCCACAATTGATAACGATTCCGGATCTCCAACGGGAATCACCTGGTGACCATGAAGAACTCCGATGCGAATAGGACCGTGACTTATGACTTTAGAGAGGGGCCAGCTTGGAGACTTGTACAATTTATTTTTAGAAGATAATTCTTGTTATTCTTGTGATCCACTTATCCATAATGAGATGATGAAACGTCGTGACGATGGTGAATCACATGATTTCTCGGGCTCGAGAGAAAGTCCTAATTACTACACACCTCATCATAATCTCCTCGCACGACATGTACGTCGGCCGCCACTGTACGCAAATAATCAAATGTTTCCTTGTCACATACATTTCCCGTACATATTATTTGCTGTATTTTGCCGGGAACCTATTGTTGAATTGTGAAGATATTCGTTCGGAGTAAATTCTTCGCAAATACTTCGAAAGAAAAAAAAAAAAAAGAAACCACGCTACTCAACTGACCAGAAGCTTTTTGAACTTGAAGGGAAGGTCGTGTACGCGGTATGGAATGTGAAGGTCACCAAGCACTAGTACTAACTATAAAAAATAAAAAGTCATCAAAGTTGGACTTACTATTTATTGATGTTCGTGATCACGTCTTGATACAGACGCGGCAAAACAGCTCATAACGTGTAAAGTTATACTTGTCATTTTTGCAGAAAGCTTAATTAAAGCCTTCTACTAGACATTTACCACCATTTCGGAAATTTATATAAGCTTTATAAAACGAAGAATAATGACTTTCAGGCTCAATTATCTTATTTGGTATCACTAACCGGGGTATAGGAAGTTACTGGGGGTAAGGAAAAAACTCGCATTCTTACTTGTATCACATTAATCGGGCATGATAAACATCGATACATTGATTGCAGTCACTCAACACTTTTAATTACGTTTGTTATCTACGTGAAAATTCTAGACGCGACAATTTCTATCCAATAGTTACTTCTACACATTTATTCTTTTGTGCTTTTTCAAGTCTGAAATTTTTATTCTGCTCGGAAGACACTCTTGGAAAGAAAAAATTCAAGGTGCGTAAAACCAAACTCATTCTGTTAAGATTTATGCTATCCTTTGTTAATTCAATAAAACATTTTACCAGCGTCTTCTACACTGTGCATTTTATGGCGGAGACGAAGGACGCAGGTCTAGCACCCATGGAATTTAACCATGAATCTCAAAACGGCCTACCTATGGTAACCACGAATACACAAACACCAAACGATGTCCCCACTGAAGTGGACTACGGGCGATCAGCTCCCGTTGATGTCACTGTGGAGGAAAACGAAGAATTGCCAGATCCTAAGAATATGCCGGAAACAGCTTTTGTCATTGCCTTTTGCGTTAAATTCAACGAAGCTCTCAAAATAAGTTTTTGGCCAGAGGTTTGCATCACACAGTTACACTTTCGTCGAAGTAACAAAAACTTTGGACTCCTTATGAATATCTCCTCTTTAATTAACTATAGGATTTGGATGCAGCTCTGTGTAGCACTGAGGAAAATCCTTTGATCGAAAAATTGAATCGCCTATTCCTCAGAAATTTGCTTAACACAGAACGCTTAGTCGAGTAAGCATCAAAAGCAACTATTCTGACTCTTACCATGTTATTCAGTTTACTGAGTTCTACACAATTAGTTTGTATACATATGATTGATGCCCATTTATATTTATTCGTTTATCTTTTATTAGAAAAAATAAGTGGATGACCGTGTTATCTAATGTCATATCGAAAAGACTCGAAAATAATGAAGATTTTTATCTTGATTACAACCCTCTAAAACGTGTAGATGACAACTATTACGCATTAAGTGTTCGTGACAAGGTAACAGATGTCTTTGACGCTTCATTGGTTGCGAATTCTGTATTGAGACTTTTTTCATTTTGCGACTTGATAGGTGATGATTTTACAATGCCTGGTCAGCTGGCAGCTGATAAGTTCAAGTAAAATTAAAGGTCTTATTAAACAACAACACCTTGGATTAAATGAGGATGAAATTAAACCATTGGAGGTTGAAGTGCTTGGAGAAGATGCTAAAAAATCAAAATATTATTATCTAGGCAGTGAGTATCGAAATACCTAGATGTAACATTATGATATGTTATGTTATCTTTTTAACAATACTAAATTTTTATGGTAACTTAGTCGGCGCTAGAATTTATCGAGAAACTTTGATTCCAGATCTTAAAAATCCATCTTCGATGAATATAAAGTGGGAAGCCGTGTCAACAACTATTCATGACTTAAAAAAATTTGTGGAGAATCGAAATGAGATAGATCCAAGTCGATCAGAGAAGGAAAACGCCTTGTATACTAAAATAGTTGGGCAAGTTATTCCATATCTTGAGCCCTTAGCAATGGTAATTTTGAAACATCTGAATTCAGATTTTTCAAAAAACTTCTTGCTTACCGAGAAAATTTATATAATATAAATTTAGGAAAAAGTCAAGGAAGAGCAGAGAAGACAGATCAAGGAACGTAAAAAAGAGACGAGAAGAGATAACAATCTCAAGAAGATTTTACAGATACATAATGATGCAGAGATTTTACCCACCAGAACTCGTGTACGCAAGATCCAAACCCCGATTGATATTCAGGAAAATAATGTTGAAATTAATTCCACTGAGAGCAATCCAACT